GCGTCACCTCCTCCACTAGGGGCGGCACCTCCTCCACTAGGGGCGGCACCTCCTCCACTAGGGGCGTCACCACCTCCACTAGGGCCGGCACCTCCTCCACTAGGGGCGTCACCTCCTCCACTAGGGGCGTCACCTCCTCCACTAGGGGCGGCACCTCCTCCACTAGGGCCGGCACCTCCTCCACTAGGGGCGGCACCTCCTCCACTAGGGGCGTCACCTCCTCCACTAGGGGCGTCACCACCTCCACTAGGGGCGTCACCTCCTCCACTAGGGGCGTCACCTCCTCCACTAGGGGCGTCACCTCCTCCACTAGGGCCGGCACCTCCTCCACTAGGGGCGGCACCTCCTCCACTAGGGGCGTCACCTCCTCCACTAGGGGCGTCACCTCCTCCACTAGGGGCGGCACCTCCTCCACTAGGGGCGTCACCTCCTCCACTAGGGGCGTCACCACCTCCACTAGGGCCGGCACCTCCTCCACTAGGGGCGTCACCTCCTCCAAACAAACAAAGTGGCCTTTAAACAAAGTTTTGTAAAAAAGCTTCAAGTCATTCATCCCATTCTTCATGTGTCTGGGGCCCCCATGGCCCCTGAGACGTTCAGACAGAGGCCACACGCCAACGTTATGGTGTTAGAAACCCGGCATCAGAGAAAGTTACAGTTTATTAAGAGAATAATTACAGAAGCAGAGTTTAATATAAAGGATTTATCCCAAAAAAATAATAGTAACTTATTATTGATGAGGTGTTTCAGGCTGAAGGTTATCAGAATGAGGCTCCTCTGGAAGAAATGAGACATTTACATAATGAAACGTGCTGAAGCGCTGATACACAATCAATTCTCCCATTTTGTAAATTCAAGGTTATTTAGCTTTTCAACTAACATAAATGATAATAAGCACTAATAATACTAAGTATTTCATGATTAATATCCATAAATATGAATAAATGAAACCATATATAATAACAATTGGGGATTTACTGATTTACTGTATTTTCTCAACTATTCACTGAATTATGCATATTTGTTTAAAAGAAGCTTGTTTTCATTGATTGAAGTTAATCTCTGTGGATTTAGAGTACTCCTACTTTATTATACTTTATCATACAAAATACAATGCCTTAAAATTACTCCTAAAAGTTCAATGTTTTCAAAAAGTGAGCCTTATGTAAAGTTTTTTATAGTCGCCACCTATAAAAACAACATAGATCTCAATTAGTTCAACATTTTCAACGATACTTTTATTTTTTTTCATGCAAAAATGATTTAGTTCAAAACCAGGTCAGGCTCCGTAGCCTCCTGATGGGACCAGGAGGGGGTGTGATTTGGCGTCAGTGGATTGGCTGAACATGATGAGGTCAGCGGATTCATCTCTGTTGTTATTCAATGCAGAGTATGGATGTGAATCTTCCTCCTCGTCATCTTCAGGAACTGCGAACTGTAGGGTGTCAGGATGGGAACAGATGTTCTTTCCTCTGAGAGAGGTCTAGATCTTAGGGTTGGATGGTTCAGGATCATCTGCAGACATCGGATGGTGGTCCAGACCAACAACCCCACCTCACTAAGGACAGCTGTCTTCTTGTTTCAGGACGTCAGCCCAAGGCCTTCTGGGAAGATGAAGCTCAGATCTTCGGAGGTTGGCAGGAGCCCACGCCGAGGTTAGTGATGAACAGTTCAGACCAGTGTAATCCTTTAAGCTGGGAACCAGTAGCATAGACCGGTGAAGGCTGAGCACTGGTGGGTCCAGTTCAGGGTCTGAATGAAGCTCAGCTGGTCTGAGTGTAGCCGCATGTCGTCATTCAACCGCTGGTTGTCTAGGTGGTGTCCTGAAAACAACGTGGGCTACATTAATAATTGGCAATCCTTTTGGGGAAAGCCTGGTCTGATTCGGAGAGACGGCATCCATCCCACTTTGGATGGGGCAGCTCTTCTTTCTAGGAATCTGGCCACATTTATTAGTCCTCCAAAACCCTGACCACCCAGGGTGCAGACCAGGAAGCAGAGTTGTAGTTTAACACACATCTCTGCAGCTTCTCTACTGTTACCCACTCTTTACTCCATCCAGACAGTGTCTTGCCCACGACCAAAATCTAATAAATTAGCAAAGATTCCCAAAGGAGTAAATCATGATAATCTAATTAAGATCAAAATAACTCCAATTGGGGGAAAATTTAAAATGATTAAATGTGGTCTGTTTAATATAAGATCTCTTTCCTCTAAAAGTCTGCTAGTTAATGACTTGATTTTTGATAATCACATTGACTTGTTTTGCCTTACAGAAACCTGGCTGCAGCAAGAGGATTATGTGAGCATAAATGAGGCAACTCCTTCAAGCTATTTAAATTTTCACATCCCCAGAAGTTCTGGGCGAGGAGGAGGAGTAGCAACAATCTTCCAGTCTGACTTACTGATTACTCCCAAAACAATTAATACCTACAACTCTTTGATCATTTAACCCTTAATTTCCCTGATCCAAATTTCAAGGCAAGAAAACCTCTTCTTTTTGTAACTTTGTATCGTCCACCAGGTCCTTACTCTGAATTTTTAGATGAGTTTTCAGAGTTCCTTTCTGATTTGGTATTAAATACTGACAGGGTCATCATAGTGGGAGATTTTAACATCCATGCTGACATTGAAGGCGATAGCTTAAGAGCAGCCTTTAATGCTATCTTAGACACTATTGGCTTTGTTCAAAATGTGAATAGTCCCACGCATTCTCATCTTCATACTTTGGATCTTGTGCTGACATACGGCATAGAATGTAAAGAAATAACAGTATTTCCTCACAACCCTGTCCTCTCTGACCACTTTTATTAATAACTTTCAGGATTACTTTAACAGAGTTCTCCTCCCCCAAAAGAAGGTTCAATTTTAGTAGATCTTTATCAGATAGTGCAGTTATAAATTTTAAAGAATCTGCTTCACTTTCTCTCTCCTCTGTGTCACTGAGCAGTGCTGCAGAGTGCAAAAGCTTAGCTTATTCCCCTTCACAGGTTGATGATTTTGTTGATGGGGTTGCTAGTTCTCTGCGTACTGCCTTAGACAACGCAGCTCCTTTGAAAATGAAAACCGTTAAAAATAGAAAGCTTGCTCCTTGGTTTAATGCAGAGCTGCGCACTTTAAAGCAAAATGCTAGGAAACTGGAGAGAAAATATCGCTCCACCGGCCTGCGGGAATCCTACCTAGTCTGGAAAAATAGTTTACTGCTGTATAAAAGGACCCTTTGTAAAGCAAGAGCAGCATATTTCTCCTCATTAATAGAGGAGAATAAGAATAATCCTAGATTTCTTTTTAGTCCAGTTGCCAAACTCACCCAGAGCCATAGCTCTGTTGAACCGTCCATTCCACCTGCTCTTAGCAGCAATGATTTTATGGGATTATTTATAAATAAGATTGATCTTATTAAAAATAAGATCATAAGCACTCCTCTATCCTCAATTGGTTTGTCTCTGGAGGTTGGGGCAGCATCTGAGGTAGTCATGGAATCTGAACCGGGTTTAGACTGCTTTGATCCAGTTAAACTTTCAGAGTTAGCAAAACTATTGTCTTCATCTAAGCCTTCAACTTGGATGTTAGATCAAGTACCAACTGGATCTAACATACAAGGGCTACTGAAGTACCAAATCTTGGTGTTGTTCCTGATCAGGACCTGTCATTTAAATCCCATATCAAAGAGGTTTCTAGAATTTCCTTCTTTCATCTGTGGAATATTGCAAAAATGAGAAATCTCTGGTCCAGGGGTGATGCTGAGAAACTAGTCCATGCATTTGTTACTTCAAGGCTGGACTATTGTAATTCTTTACTATAAGGAAGTCCACAAACTGTAGTTAAAAGCCTTCAGCTGATCCAAAATGCTGCAGCCAGAGTTCTGATGAAAATGAAAAAGAGAGATCATATCTCGCCTATCCTGGCTTCTCTTCATTGGCTTCCTGTTAAATCCAGAATAGAATTTAAAATCCTCCTTCTCACATATAAAGCCTTAAATGGCCAAGCTCCATCTGATATCAGAGATCTGATTGTTCCTTATGTTCCTAACAGAGCACTTCGCTCTCAATCTGCAGGTCTACTAGTGGTTCCTAGAATTTCTAAAAGTAGAATGGGAGGCAGATCTTTTAGTTATCAGGCTCCTCTCCTGTGGAACCAACTACCAGTTTTAGTCCGTGAGGCAGACACCCTGTCTACTTTTAAGGCTAGGCTTAAAACTTTCCTTTGTCATAAAGCTTCTAGTTAGAGTGGCTCAGGTTATCCTGAGCTATCTCTATAGTTCTGCTGCTATAGGCTTAGACTGCTGGAGGACATAGGGACCCCTTTTTCATCATTCTATCTCTATTCTCCCACTCTGCAGAATCTATTAGTTCAATCTCTAACGTTCTGCTCTCTCTGCTTTTTCTCATAGTAGCTTCATCTGGTCTGTTCCTGTTTGGCTGTGACTCCATCCTGGAGAGAAATATCAGCTGTGCTGCTGCCATCAACACCTTTGATTCTAGATGTTGGAGCTTGGCCTGTTTTCCAGTGTAGTCCTGTTTCTCTGACTGTGACTAACTGGATGTGCTCTCTTCATCCTCTGACATGGGAGCTGGCTCGGAGCTCGTCTGCCTGGCTGTGTGTTTCCTGGACGGGGCTGCCTGTGGAGCTGGTTGACAGTTGCCTTTTGCATCTATGCTTCTTTTTCTATCTCTGCTTCTGTCTCCTTGAACCCCAGTCGGCCTCAGCAGATGGCCGCTCACACTGAGCCTGGTTCTGCTGGAGGTTTCTTCCTGTTCAAAGGGAGATTTTCCTCTCCACTGTCGCTACAAGCATGCTTAGTGTGAGGGATTGCTGAAGAGTCAATGAGTCGATGCAATCAGCTGGTTTTCCTTAGATAGAAAACTCTGAATCAATCTGACTGGATGATCTGGTGAACTGGAAAGTGCCTTGAAATGACATGATGTGAATTGGAGCTATAGATATAAACTGAATAGAATTGAGTGTGATTCGCTCTGTCTTTGCTCTCCTCTCTTCAGGTAGAGCTCAGCTTCTGGAGGAGTTTCATGTTCTCTACCAGGAACTGGCTGCTGGTGGATCCCTGCAGTCACTGCACAGCCTCATCTTCTGCTGATGGACGCTGCCACCTTCTGGGCTGGGTGTGCAAAAGCAAGCAGCTCTTCGTGCCCTTTGAAGTTCACTGAACTCTGTGTAGATATTTCCATAAAGTAGACCTAGTCGCACTTTGTCTAAACGTTAAATTAGTCCTTTAAAAAGTCCTCAACTTATTTTTTTTTCCTTGTAAAAAAGATCTGAAATGAGCTGAAAGTCAAAGAGGATTCGTGCTTCTCTGGTTGAAGGCAGAAGCAGTGACCAAGGATCTCCAGATGGAGAGAATCCATGAAGACCTATGCAGGGAAACAGCTCTGCAGCTCCTCCAGAGTCACCATGATCCTCTGATCAATGCTCCCCAGTGCTGGTGGACGTCGCCCAGTCTGCTTTCCTCCAGTAATTTCTGTCTTGTTTGTTTATCTGACCTTCAGTGAAAGTTTTAATAAAGTCAATTTTTAACAGATTCTCCAGAGTTTGTGTGATCAAGTCTGCATTTTTTTCCTGATCGGATTGTCATTATCAGATAGATCTGCTCAGATAGATCTGCTTCGAAAGATCTGCTCAGATCATAGCTAAAGATGTTTTAAAATGTGACATTTTCATATCCCCCCCTAACAGAGCACTGCATGTTTGAACTGTCAGTAAGAATAATTCAACAACCCAAATCATCAGAAAACATCTGGAAATGCAATAATAGTAATAATATTACTTAATGCCGAATTCTTTAGGCAAGTTAAAATTCTTTTTCAAAACATAAATGGTCTGGATATGTCACATATGAACAAGTGGGAGTGGTTCAAATTTGAACTTAAACAGTTAGCCATTGGAACAGGGAAACAAAAAAAGAAATTTTTTTTTTATAAATGAGATATGTGGAAAAATTGATATAACAACAGAGGAAAAGGCTGAATTGACGACACTTTAAGTCAAATTAGATGACATGTATAAGGAAAAAGCTAATGGAGCAATTATAAGTTTAAAAGCGAGATGGATAGAACTTGGAGAAAAAAATACAGCACAAGAGAATACATACACTGAAGAAAAATGACACAATTATTGATGACTAAAAGCAGATAAATGTTAAAATATGGGGTTTTTACAACATGTATAAAAAACATAAAAAAACAAAATGAAGGGAAAAAAATATTAGGTGAAGACTTAACCGTATCAAAAATGGAAACTGCAATAAAACAGATGTCACCAGGAATAGACGGCATAACATCCGAATTTTATAAACACTTTTGGAATGATATTAAAGAGCTTTTTTAGAATGTATAGATGAATAGATAAAGGACTGATAACTTTGTTACCTAATAAGAATTTGCTGAACCTGAATAACTGGAGACGTATAACTCTTCTGTGCAATGACTACAAATTAGTAGCTTTAGTAAATGCAAATCGATTTAAACATTTTCTGGCCACTCTAGTTGACAAGGTTCAGTCAAACTTCATAAAAGGCAGAATATATATATATGTCTATAATAATGTGAGATTAAAACGAGACTTGCTTGACTTTCAGTCGCTTATAGATTCTGAAAGTCTCATTCTCCTCATTGACTTTTTCAAAGCCTTCAATTCTATAGAACACCGCTTTCTGGCTCAGACACTAAAAAAGTTAGGATCTGGTGAAAAGTTTTGTAAAGTAATATGTTGTATAAACACATAATCAGTTATGATTCTCTAAACCCAGGAATGACCCCTAGAATAGAAATTTCTCGTGGATTAGACAAGGTTGTCCGATAGCACCAAAACCTTTCATTTTATGCACCCAGATGTTGGCTTATTTGGTTGTAAATAACTCAGAATTTAAAGGTATAAATATATCTTTGATTATGAATTTCGCATCAGTCAATTCGCAGATGATACAGTTTTCTTTCTAAGAGACAAGTCAGTAATTTGCAAAGCATTGAACATTATTTCTGTGTTTTCCAAAGCATCTGGATTGAATATAAATGTACAAAAAAAGTTAAATAATACAGAGGCACAAATAATGTCCATTCCTGTTAAATCCAAAGTCTATTATTTTGGCATAAAATCAATGAAAGAGACAAAAATAAGGGAGGAAGAAACTTAATCCCTGGCTAATGAGAGATCGATCAATTTTTGGTCGAAACCTGTTTTTGATCTATCCATGTAGCTTAAAGTCTCCAAAAAACACTTCAAAAAAGCAAATTCTATAATATACCACTTTATATGGAGAAACAAAACGCATTATCTTAAAAAAATCACAAATGGTTAAAGATTAGGAAAAAGGAGGCCTGAAAACACTAGATTTTGAATCAATGGTAGGAGTTTTAAAAATAAATTGGGTAAAAGCTTTTATGTCACAGAAAGAATCCATCTGGTTTCATATCCCTAAAAATATTTTTTAGAAAGTCGGAGGGTTGGAATTCGTACTGAAATGTGATTATAAATTAGGAAACTGCCAGTCAAATTATCTGAATTTCATAAACAGATATTACACTTTTGGAAGAGGATTTTTTTTCACGTAATTTTACTCCACATGGCTCCAGACTGTGGAACAACAAAACTATAATGATAAACAGGAAAACAATATTTAAAGAAGTTTGGTTTGAAAAAAAACTGATCTGTGTTACTGACCTAATGGATGAGCCTGGAATTTTCTTACATTTTTACACTTTTAAAGAAAAAATTTGTATCCACTGTTTGTACACAGAATTAAATATGCAAAATATTACCTGCTGCATTAAATACGAAGCACAATCTCTCAGTCAAACATACAAGTAGTCTTGCCAGAACTAAAAATTTGCATATTGTCAGGATCCAGAGGCTTGCCCACCAGAGGGCGCCATAGATCCTTCCTGGGAGCTTGTGCTCAGTCGTGGCAGCTGTTCCCCATTAGCTCATTAAGAGTTTCCCTATGTAAGCTGGAGGGGAACTTCATTTTGGGCCGGATTGTTTTGACCCTGTTGTGGTTAACAAGCCCGAGCCTGCCTGCCTGTCTGACTCCCTGACTTCCCTGGAACCTGAACCTGAACCTGCACCTAACCTGTTTTGTCCTCTCTGCTTTCCAGGAAGATCCCTGTTCTGAACTCAATAAACCTTTGGACTTTTCCCCTGCCTCTGTGTGTATGGAGAGCCATTTCAGCCAAAATTAAATAAATAAATGGGTGAAATAAATAAAAAATGAGTAAAATAAATCAAAAAATGAAGAAAATTAGTGAAATAAATAAAAAATTTGTTAAATAAATAATTTAGCTTTTTCATTAAACCAATGTTTAATTTATTTATTTTTCATATCAATTTCCCAATTTCTCTTTTTCATTTATCTATTTGTCATTTATCTCTTTATCCATTTACCCATTTACCCATTTTTCATTAATCTAATTTTCATTTAACCACTTTTCAATTTCCCTTTTTCATTAAGCATTAATTTTTATATTTTTTTATTTTTCAGATTATCTATTTCTCAATTTCTGTTTTATCTATTTTTCATTTATCTATTTTTCATTTGTCCATTTTTCATTTATCCCTTTATTTATTTACCCATTTTTCATTAATCTATTTTTTAATTTAACCATTTTTCAATTTCCTTTTTCCATTAACCCGATTTTCTATTTCCCAGTTTCATTAATCATAGAAACCCTGCCGATCATGACAGAACAATCTGGCCCAGAGTGAAGTTCCCCTCCAGTTTATATAGGGAAACTCTTAATGAGCTAATGGGGAACAGCTGCCACGACTGAGCACAAGCTCCCAGGAAGGATCTATGGCGCCCTCTGGTGGGCAAGCTTTGGATCCTGACACATATTAGAGATAAAAAAATGTAACAATCATTTTATAGGGACAGCATTTAAATGTAAAATCTTTCATAATTTTACTGGAATGACAAAAATTTGTATAATTAATGATTCCAATAACATAGAAAAATATTTTCAATATTTAAAATGGCCAATTCCACCAAAAGTAAAAGAAATATAATATAAAATTATTAATAGTTATTATCCAACAGCAGAAACTCTTAGGAAAAGATTTGGATTTGAGGTTGATGCCAGAAACTTTGAACATCTCTTCTATTCATGTCGAGTCACAGGTTAGTTTAGGCAGAACCTGCATATTTGGTTAAGTATCAAAATAGATAATCTAACACGTTTTGACATAAATCAAATATTAACATAGAAGAATTACAGGTTGAAGGATTTATTTGATATGCTCAATTTTGCTCTAAGTATGGGAAGATATCATATACATGTATGTAAATGGAAAAATGAAAAACCTTCAATAATAAGTTTTATAAACGAACTCAAAATCTTCTACTCACCTTTATCTCTGTTAACTGACAAATATTGATAAAAACTTTGTAGACAAGTCAACATTTCTGGTTTATGATTCAGCAAATGCAAAAGTTAACATGATGTAAGAAACTGTCTTGTTGCAGAATGAGGCTGTTATAAATGTTTCTTTTTTCCTAAGTTTTGTATGTTTCCATTGGTTCTAATATTACTACCTGTTTATTAATCTATCTCTGTTCCTTTGCAATAGTTAGGTTTATACGGAAGAGGATTAGGGCCACTGGAAAAAAAAAAATAGTTAACTGATTTTTTTTATTTTATTTCAGTATAGTATGGGACAAAAGTCTTTCTGACTTTAATGTCAGAATTCTGACTTTTTTCTCAGAATTCTGACTTTTTTCTCAGAATTCTGACAACAAAAAAGTCTGACATTAAAGTCAGAATTCTGAGAAAAAAGGCAGAATTCTGAGAAAAAAGTCAGAATTCTGAGATTAAAGTCAGAATTCTAATAAAAAGGTCAGAATTCTGAGATTAAAGTCAGAATTCTGACTTTTTTCCCATACTAAACTGAAATTTTTTTTAAAAAATCAGTTAACTTTTTTTTTTTTCCAGTGGCCCTAATCCTCTTCCGTAGGTTTATGATATATGTTGTCTTCTCTTTTTTATGTAAGACAGAAAAGTGGTGATTCCTACTTGAAATAATGTTTGTTCAATGATATAATAATAATAATAATAATAATAATAATAATAATAATAATAATAATAATAATAATAATAATAACAATAATAATAATAATAATAATAATAGTAGTAAAAGACTGGACAGAAAAGCAAAAAAAAAACCCCAGTAGTTATCGCGGGATCTGACAGGTCGCCTAGCTACGTGACTCAAACACCTGATATGGTGGTGTTGGTTCTTCTGCTTCAGGTTGTCTCAGTTTGAACAGGATGAGCTCCGTTTCCTCTCAGCCTCACTTTGTCTTCGGCCCGCGGAGCGGCGGCCTGGCGCTGCTGGATGAACACACGGTGCTTTTCACCTGCGGGAGCCGCTGCGTGATGCAGCACTGCGCCCAGAGGTGGCAGCGCTTCCTTCCAGGTAGACAAAGAGCTGCTGAACACCTGAGATTATTATAGAGATTAGCAAAGAGCTGCTGAACACCTGAGATTATTATAGAGATTAGCAAAGAGCTACAAAACACCTGAGATATTATAGAGATTA